ATTTTTATGAAATAACTGTATGACTCATTGTAATCAACTAAAAGCATATCGAGGATGGTCTCTAATATTTAAGATGAAATTTACCAGAATATTCGACTAATTGCAGTAGACGGTTCTAGGTTGTTGCTTCGAAACACGAGGGAGGCGCGTGGCCATATTTTACGGGCGTCGGCGTGAAACAGATAATTTTCGAAGGAGGGAGGAAGCGATATCTGATCGTATATCAGAGCACGAAATGGTCGGTCGCCTTCAAATTATCGAAAACAAGGGCCAAACTAATGGGCCCAGTCGGGCCATCTGGCTCCGCGGGGCTAGCTGATTCACGCCAACCCGTTCACTATTTTCACACCCGACGAATTAACCTAAATGCATCACCGTTAACGGGTCCTGTTGATCTTAAGCAGAATTTCGAATGGTTCCGAGCCAAAATAAACCGCCCATCCAGGCATTAATTATGTGAGGATTGGGTCTGCGCGAAAGTTTCGATGGGTTTTCTCCTATATGATCGTATATGATTTTGTGCCATAAATAAACAATTATGTCAGTATATTATATGTCGAGGTCTGTATAACACAGTGAATTTGCTGTTTAGAACAATAATTGATGCGATTGAGTGTGTTTTATTGTTTACAATAAAGTTGAAAACCAACTCTGGAAAAAAAATTCGAAAATGGGTGGAATAAACGTTAGAAACACCGGAAAATGAACTTGTGATCTGTTTCGAGAAGCAGTGATGTCAATTTTACTCTGTGATATACTAAAAAATCATTAATATAATGTAGTTATAGAAATTCGGTAAATGATAATATTTCAAAAAATTGTTTATTAGAGTAAAATTTTCTATTGAGAGAAGATATGTTATAAGAGAATCATTATGCTTTTTATTAGATTATTGCTAAATTGTAATTAAAATCATTATTGTTCTATTTTTTTAAAACAAAGTCGATCAAACTCTTTGTACTAACCAGATAAACGACGTTCTAAATTGTCAATACGCTATTATGCAGCTTTGATTATTCTTATATGGTATAAATATTTCAATATTAAAATTCATAAAGTATATGTATATAAATAAATGTATGAGAAATACTGATATACTTTAATAGGCTCGTATGCTCTAGCTTTCGAAAACGAGCCAGTCAATTTCTCTTATTAGCAGTGAAATCCCAAGGAATTACACATTACATCGTAAGAAAACACATAAAAATGATATAAGTGCTAGGGATATGATGCAAATTACAGAGGTGTAACATGACTGCTTTATTACGATATGTACTCTGATTGCAAAAAGTGTGCATGCGTCGTTGCCTTTTGCAGTCTTTAACGTAACATTAAACTAAGAATCAAAGAAAACAGTTGACTATACGAAAGTACACTTAATTTAAAACCAAATTCTGAAATATATGATGTTGATTTATTTCATTTGTATTAGAAAAACGATTGTCATATTTAAAAATTAATTAGTTCATTTTTAAGTAATATTACAGAAGTAATACAATTTTTTTTACATATCATATTTGTACTTTATCAAGTTACATTCTCTTATTATGTCCTTATTTATCCAAAACCCTTTAAATATCAATAATCTACCCATACATTATGCTTCATAAAAATGTTCCTATACGTTTAAAGAAAGAAATAATGAAATGAAACGAATGAAAAAATATTAATATTCCACAAACTGTTTCTTTCAATGGACCATATTATTACTTTCCGTATACCAGACGGTTAATGTATATTTATCTCAAACTATATCTTAATTGAAAATTAAATTACTATACAACAATATGACGTAAATAATTTTTAATTTAACTTTATAGTGAAACCAAAGTTGGTACTTAAAAACAAACCTGGCCATTATTTAAGGAAAATGATAGTGACTATTCACATAATAAATTAAATACTTTTTTGTTCAAGTGTAACTTCTAATTTTAATCTATTTAGTGAAGATAGTCATTGCTTTTTGATTATTTTATTTTTTTGCATTTAATGAAGCATTTTTGATCTGACTGTTTTGTTTACATGATTCTTTTGTAAATTAATATTCATAAGGTTTTTGTTATTCAACAGTATCAATAAATATATACGTTACCTTTGTAAATATACATCTACAATATAATAATTTCGGTTGTACTTCCGAAAGGCACCGGTGGCTGATCGATATGAAATTCGGTGGGTGTTATGAAGAACATGAAAGCATCTCAAGTATAAAATTTGAGTTTTGGGAATTCACCAATTCAGAAAATACAGCTTCTCATCTACAAGCTATTTTCTATACTATTTGCTTGGTGATTATGTAATTTATGTACTTAATTAAAATCAACTCTAAATCAACATTGAATTGCTATAAACTGATTGAGATAGAGAGATAACAATATAATACCGTAGCGTCTCGGAATATTAACCACCACACTGGTCGGTAAGGACGTCACGCAACCGAGCAGAGTATGTTCCTCTCTTACCCCTGTGCCGTTCTCATACATCACCTAGTGTTAACCACGCACCCAACATTCCCTCACACATAACCCAGTGTTAACCATGCACTGCTTGTATTAAAAAGCTGTATCTTTCGAACAGGTGAATTCTCGAAGCTAAAATTTTATATTTAGAGTCCCTACATTCCCCCCATAACACCCACCAAGTTTCGTTTTGATCGGCCACCGGTGGCTTTCGAAATAAGAACCTTATTTTCTATTAATTACAAAAGGCGTGAGTATGGAAAATGTTATATTCATATACACTTTTGCTTTTAACAAGATTGTAAACAAACGAGAATTAAAATAAAAACAAAGTATATATTATGTTAGTTTTAAATTTCAGTTGCATGCTGGTGTTAACACATTGCTGCTTCCAATAGGGATGAGGGAATAATTTGACGTGAAGATCCTTTTTGTACATGGACGCGTAGAGGACATAAAGGTCACAAAGGTCGAATTTGTTTTTCCAAATGAAGTCATATATCTTTTAATGCATTAGTAGATGCAGTTTGTTATCCCCTACAAAAAAAGTATTAAGCTACTTATGTCGAAAAACAATTAGTTTAGGAGATATTTTAATTTTAAAATTGCGAAGTGTTACCTACTAATGACACGATGTTTACGATCATGAAGTTGATGCTCGAAAGGAAGTACCTTCAGCCCAAAGGAAGTGTCAGAACGGAATATTGAAATTAAAATATCTCCCAAACTAATAGTTTTTCAGCATAAGTAACTTAAAACTTCTTTATAAATAATGATGTACAGCATCGACAAACGCATTGAAAAATATATAATTCCCTATAAAAACAACAATTTTTATCTTCATATGTCTTCTACGCGTTCAGTTACAAAGAAGCTATTCACATTAAATTATTTCGCCCTTAAAACCATTTAACATTTATCCGAAACATTTATAGGTATTATGAACGGTTTCCAGGATATTCGAAATCGATTTAAATGGCTCACCCTGTAGATTTAAAATATACGAAAACACAAGAATTCTCGGAATCCGTCTTAAGCGTTACAATAGGAAACATAATATTTCATGTGATCCATCTGTAATGTGTTAAGTAACGACATTGACTTCTAAACTTTCACTGTCCCCTTTTACACTGACATTCCCATCAATTGTAGACCATTACCTGACATATTCAACCGTAAAAACGAATGAGAGTGAAATGTTTGACGAGCTCTGAAAGAGCATTGTTTCACCATAAGCGCACAAACGAGCGAAAATGCGTTCGATTAAAAGCAATATAGAACTGATTTATGCTCTTCGTGAGATTTGTTGGCGGCAACTGCGACGTAATAGCTTTCCTAGAATCTGAGAACCGAACGAAATACCTGCGAAAGCATAGGCACGCCAGGTATTTTTTTTTCTGAAAACGTTCTTGCTGGCCAGGGACTCTCGTCTAATTAGAAAAGCGTAAGAGCTGGAACTGCATGTCCATCGGCCGAGAAAAGTCGGTCGACACGTGTCCACGTGTGCTTTCTCACGATTGGAATTTATTTCTAGAAACGAGTAATTACGACCCTACGTAACCGATGAATTGGGGACAAATGTGTTCAATTGAAGCTGAAGCAGTGAAAGAAAGTGAACGGAAGGAAAATGTTTCCAGATTCTTTATTTTTGTGTTCAACGATTTAAGTGATTCTTCACAAAGATAATTAACATTAGAATAGTCATTTTCGTGACACTTATTCTGAAAGTATTAGGTACTGAAATAAGTTGTATGGTTTTCTTCTTGTATCATCTAATAAACTGTATCGATAACCATGAAAAGTTTACTATATCTACTTAGTCTTGGTTTACTATAGCCTTTCTATGTTTCATTTGTTTCAATAGTTAGTACGTAAGTAAATATGGCTAATCATCATTTCCGAATTTACAATTCTTTGCCTTACAAATTAATCAAATCGGAAGTTTTGTTACATCTTTCTTTTCAATTGAATTTTTTTCCATATAATTATCTTTACTTTCATTTATGTAAAATTCTTAACAAACTATCGTTTTTAATTTTTTTTATATTCGCACTCACTGTTTGTCTAGTGCAGTCCGTTCTTTGGACAGTTAACACTTTGTATTCGGCAAAATGAATTATTTTATAGCCAAAAACGGGATTATTACATAGAATAGAGTTCACTTTGTTATTTCAGTAACCTTGATACATGTTATGAAGGTCATTGTCCTGAGTAATTTTATATAGACGGAGTTAGTAAAAACACTTTCACAGGGTAGATGCTACATGCAAAACTAGGACGAAAATCAAGAATGACGAAATTGCGTTCTAGGCATCGTTTCCGAGATATTAATTGTTGAAAATATGGCGAAATACGCGTACAATGTGTCTAAAACAAAATTTACAGGCTTAGAGAATTTTGAAAAATATTGAAGGTTACATAATGTTACACGGTGAAACGTAATAATATTTTACGTGAGTTATGGTTGCATGAATGTTATCGTATACAACCACACGAACTTTTTCGGGTACGTAACACTTTCAGAGGATTTATTGATAGAATTTACTTTTCCCACCAAACGGAGTTGCTGACGTATCCCCAAGGTGAATTTTCACAGACGGTGCCTGCAATCGCGTCTTTAACAGGTACTGTCAATATTCTGAAGTTTACGTCGGTGTAATTTAAAGTCGATATCAGAAAGACTGGCATTCTGTCTGATATAATCCATAACAGTCCGTTATTTATCTAAAAATAATAACATTGCTTCTTTTCAACGCGTCCGTTAAATATGGGGTGTACTTTTATATCACTATGATTTGTTTTAGAAACTACAAAGACAAATTGAGAAATATGAAGCGTAATCTCAAGTAGACTTTTTTCGTATTATGAATTATTGTGAGCAATAGATGCAATATTTGCAGCAACCTAATGTTATAACTAGACTGCGGAATTTTATGCATTTATACTAAATTTTAACTAGCCAATCTTTAACAATATTTATATGTTATTACTAACGTCATAAGATACATGCACTACAGGAAATAAATTTTGAATTCAAATTTCATTTTGATACATTAATATTTAATATTGTGATTGTATGTATTTATAATACTTTGAAATGTAGTACAAAAGAAAATCTATTTACATTTTAAATGTCTTTTTAATAAAATTAACCTCCTACTTTGAACCTAATCGTGTCCTTACTAGGGAGAATAAATTTTTGAGTTTACTACGACTGCATAAATTAGTCACAATAATTGTGTCCTTGCATAAAAATCTGTAGTTTAATTATACTACTACTGTTATAATTCATAAGATCAGAGTATATTAAGTATATTAAGCAAAGTCCATTGAAAACATAGCGTATAACAGTTTCTTACTTTGACGTCCGCCGGAAATATTAAAGCATCGTCGTGTCTGACAACGACTGCCTGATTTTGAGGTCCGTATGGTAACAAAGAGTTCCAACAGCCGACTGCATTCTGGTCAATTAAATTAAAGAATTGGAGGCCCTTTTCGTCCATAACGGAAGAGGTACAGTGACCGAGTGGTCCTCTCTCCGGAAGAACCTAGCAGTTTAAAAAATAATAATAAAGTATGAAACTGTGGTAATAGATTATAAAGTACAATAAAGTGTAAGAATAATAATAAGGTGTATTAAAATGTTCATACTAATTAGAAAGAAATTTGTACATATTTAAAACCTACAAAAATATATAAAATACAATAAAATAAAAACTTCAACAAAACTGAATGTGACGTTTGCTTCATTCTAAATTAAATTAAATCCACGAACCAGTACAAAATTTTCATTAGTAAAAGTATACACTTTTTTTTTCTATATAGAAACTCATTTCGTTGAATACTGAATATACGCAACACAAGTTTATCAGAATTCAGGGAAACATCATATAAGAAATAAAATTTATCGTAGTATCCAATCACCTGTAAAGCTGGCAACAATAATAAATTATATTGCAGTAAGAAAAAAACATTTGTCTAAGCCAAGAGAAATACCTTTCCACCGCCAAAGTTCAATTGACCCCTTAAGAGATGTTGTGTCTCTTTGGTGGAATTATAAAAAAATACTCTATAGTGAACTTCTACCAATGAAATGTTCTGTTCGCAAATGAATCACTTAAAATCAGCAATAGAATAAAAATCGCCATCACTTGTATCCAAAGAAAGAGTTGTATTTCACCGCGATAACGCACGACCGCAAACATCTTCAATGACACGACATATGATATTGCAATTTGGTTTGGATGTTTTACCCCACATTCACCAAACTTGCTCCGTATGATTTTCATTTATTTCGAACATTGTAAAATTCTCTTCAAGGAAAATCCTTTAGAAACACTGAAGGAGTAAACTCGCGCGTGTCCGAATATTTAAAAAAAAAACAGCAAACATTTTTACCACGAAGGAATATTTCAGCAATGTGGAATAACTTTGAGTCAATTAGGGGTAATTGTGTTCCAAAGTCGGAAAATTATCATTTTCGATTTTGCAGCTCTTTTGCGGGTATATTTACGTGAAATACCTTTTCACGATAAAATTAAGTTATTTTAGAAAACAAACTTAACAATTTACGGACTTGCAAAATCGAAAATAATCATTTTATCATTTAGGACAAAATTATCCTGACTGAATCAAAGTTACCCCAACATATAGTACTTAAAAGATCACGCAAGGTCATAGAATAAAATGGTACTTGCATCACTGATTAGGTAAGTTTTATATAAAATTAGTATTACTTAATATTCTTGTAAAGAAACGCGAAAGAACTTATTCCACAATCTAATAATTTCCTGATTCGAGAAGTTACCTGGAATTCATGGTAGCTGTTCTGGGACAGTTGTTCGTCTCTAAGAATCCTTGTCGAGACCGCAAACTCCCTCCTGCTGCTGAGGGGGTGGAAGAACAACGTCCTAAATCCGTCCCCACTGACCGGAGACAGGCTCATACCGAAAATCCCTTCCTCTCCCCATTGGAAATTCAAACCGCCAATATTGTAATCGCCGGCTAGGGGGTCTGGCATGAAATAGCTGTGCGTAACACGCCAGGATTTGTTCTGTTCCCAGGAATAAACGATCAAGCCGTATCCCAGCTCGTCGGATAGGTACGCATACGCGTCGTTGCAACCGCCTTTTCCCAAATCCACCGCGATATTGGCAATGAATGTGTTCTAAACATTAAAGTCTGTGTTATTGTTGAACTGTAAACTTTGTTTATTTAAAATAAATTTGAATCTACAATAATGATCATGTAATACATAGGGAACGGTTGCCGAATTTAGATCATCGCCAGGTTGGACCATTACGTTAATTTATTATTTGTAAGCAATTTGCGTTGTATGATAACCAATATGTGTTGCTTATTATGTATACTTAGTTAGTCAATCGAATTACAATAATGTCTATAAATTTGTTTTTTACACGAAGCCGAGCCTTTGCTTAGTTTCTGTTTACCCTGTTTTGTTTGGTTTCAGAAGAGGAGGCCCCTAATGGTGGGAATAACGCAGTTGTTCATGTCGCATTCATCGAGGGATCACTGTACCACTGTCATATTGTCTATCAGACGGTGCAAATTGCTTACACATGACAAGTTAGAGTAGTGGTAGAACCTAGGCGATGATCCAAGTTGGATAACCTTCCCCTATTTGGTTACACCGTATAAAATTGCCGATATTCGAATAGTTAAAAATCAACTGCGATTAGTAATATTAAATACGATCTCTATTGTTTGTTGTGCTAGTCAGAAGATATACCATTACTGTGCAACTCTATCGCTTTTAATTATTGAACCTTTATTATGATTGTTCTACGATTCTAGGCATGTAAACAATATGATGGCAAAGGAGTAATTTCGAATGATTTTCTAATATGAATTTAAAATAGATCACAATGAAGTTAGCTGATTTAAATTTTCAAGTCCTTCGTTAGTTCGCAACTGTCACCAGACTTCCCCAACAAAAGATAACTTTTTGGGTTACCGGTAGCTCCTTCTAAGAAACAAAACACTCCCTAATCGAGAGTCGATAGTTGCAGGGTTTGAAGAATTCATACTATCTGAAAATGCCAATTTTTATAAAACTGAAATGTATCAGATACTATCTTGTTTAGAGAAAAGTATTATTAATCGTCATGATGCATATTTCAATTGAATAAAAATTATTTTTTTGAAATAAGTATTTTTGTTTCAATCTATAAGAATGGCAATTTCATATGGTACAGCCTAATGATTTCAACGTGTTCACGTATACATGGTTTAGTGAAGATATACCATATTGATGTCTTCGGGTCTTAGTCTATATTGCCTTAAGATTTTGTCCGTTGTCAAGTCAAAAACATTTAATGTATAAGGACAAGCTTGTACAGTTGTGTTCCCAATGCCTATAGTACCAGTATCCAACACCCAAAGCCTGTCGCAAGCGTCCGCGTGTATTCTGGAACAATGGAATTTACATCAAGTTTCGTATTGACGAGGAAAAGAATTGCTACTCAACGTTCCATCTGGAATCGAATGTTAACCCTTGTGCACCGTCCGATAAATTGTTGTACTACTAATCCTTAAATTGCACTTGGTCTAAGCTAAAATCGAAGTAAGGAAATATACCTACATGTCCATGGATCGTTATTATGCAAATTACTGGTAATAAATTAATTTAAAATTGTTTTTGATAAATAATTTTATTATAAGTTAAATTATGGGTTCAGGTCAAAATAACGCGAACACTTGACGTGGATTGAAGAAGATTTATTTAAAAGGGTAGTTATCGTTTATACACTGATTGCGAAGGTATAACTTTCCAAAGAATAGTATAATAATTTTTATGTATTTACAGTATATTTGGATCTGGAAAACTCACGGAAAGTTTAATGAAGTATTTAGTCTTCATGATTGAAAAATATTATTTAAACGATTGAAAATAGTTTCTTCGAAAATATGTAGTTATTTTCTCAGTTCTTTTAAACATTTTAAACGTTTTTAAACTTTTATGTTTACAATTATTTATGAATATTTTGTAGATTAAAAAGTTTATTAATACAAAATTGAATAATTGCGTTTAAATTGTAGTAAACGATAAATTCTTACTCTACGTTCTTCCTTTTTTGTAATTCCAATGTAATAATCAGAATCCAGATGTTTATCTGATTGCAGATTTCAATATGTTAATTTACAAAAACTGAAATTAAATGGAAACTTGTGTTCCTCTTACACGTTCTATTTAATTAATGGTAACGTAATATATTTATTACACAGTTAATCGATGCTTTCATTTGTTTAGGTTCGAATATTCACATATGTCATAAAAGTACATAAAATTCAAATACCTATAAGCAGTAGTCATGGCGCTACCGCAAGCTCCAGCTTTGTTCTGCGCCCAGTTCGGATAAGGTGTAAGCTTCGGTGAGCCTCCCCGATTTGTATCGAGCGATAAATAATTCAAAGTGGCCGGAATTCCTAAAATTTCCAATACCTAAATGTACTAACTATTTTCATTAGCAGACTTTTCGATTCATGAACGAACATTTTGCACGCTGCTCGGTCCTAAGGTGACGGAGCTGAACATTATCGTGTCGCTGACACGCGCTATTCGTTTTTATCTTAAACCAATCTGTCCAACAGTTGCACAAAAGTATTGCAAGGCACATATCCCGACAGACTAGAGAAAGGTTAATAGAAAGGTTACAAGATCGAAAATGTTAAGACAGTGATACAAAAATTTAATGACACGTTAGCCTTGCGTGTCTAAATTGTCATGCGATCGAATGGAAAATGTCACGGTAGAGTCTTTAAAAACTCATCGAATTTTTGATATTTAAATCGATGGACCTACATAACTCGACGCGTTTGAAGCAGAACAAAATGGATTTCGGACGCCGCTTGGATAATGGTATTCAGAGGTCGCGGGATCTCGAGTTCAACTTTTTCTTCACTTTGACTACGCGCCGAATTCTAAAACAATTCGTTTTCACAGGCTCAGGAAGGAAGTCATTGAGCGTTCCGAATTCATTCTGTCAGAAGAGTGTGACAGGAACCTCTTTCTTCTTTCCTCTCTTAATATTTCATATCCTCTGCCCGAAGAGAAGCTGACGTCGGAAGAAAGACTGGGCCAAACAAAGCTACGGACGAATAAAAGCTTCCTGTAAAAACAATGCCGACTTCGGTGGGCTTCGACGCGTCTGGAGAACTTCCAGGAGACTGGTGAGAAGATCAGAACCGGAACAAGGGGAAAATGTAAAAAAGAAATAGAGGAAGCGAGATGTTGATGGTTTGAGAAGGATGAGAGTATGTAGAATAATAGAAATGATAAGTTTTTGCCAAAGTTTTGTTTTAATTTTATTTCTTTATGTCTTGGAAACTTATTTTATTTAAAAGAATTTTTACTCAAAAATATACTATTTAATTATAGTAACAATACTAATTATAATAACATATTATTTTGCACAAGAATTAATATATACATGGTGGTCTCTATAGAATATTAGATGTTACTGGTTGGCGAACTAATACAGATATACACAAATTTTTTTGACATTTTAAGTCTCAATGGGGTTTTCTGTATGGTACAACGTACCTATATCTTTGCCTTTTGTCCAGGGGAATAATGAAGGCATACTTCATATTTTTTTATGGAATGGAATCTGCAGATTCAAATACCTCTCGTGACAAAAATTGATGTCTATTTGAAACTTAATTGCTTTCTGTAAATTGTACATTCCGTGATTGTATAGTCGGTACACTATTTTCAATGCAAGATAATGTTGAATAAATGTACATTGTTCAAAAGACAGCGTTAGAACAGGAATACCAGTGAAGTGTATGTATTACAATACGAATATTGTTTTACATTATGAAAACCGTTTTAGTGACTTTAATGCATGGTACTAGTTTGATCTCCGATCCCAATGTGTGCATTACATACCTATAATGACAAGCTTGTTAACATTTCCGTACAGAATGCCTTAATCACTTTGTAATTCAACACAGTTTAACGAGAAAGCTTGATAGAAATTTAAAATTTTAATAAAATGATGGTTATTTCATACATGTAGAAAGGTTCGGGGCAGAAGAAGTTTATAATAACAACACCATGATAATCAAAAGTTACTATAAAGATAATACGAATGTTTAAAATATAAAGTAATATTTTGTGAATGAAATAATTTTTTCTGCTCCTAAATTAAATGAAAAGAACTTATGTCACTGACAAATATTTGACTACATTGTACTTCATGCTATTACTTATACAATGTCTGCTGTTAATACAATATTCATGGTGTTTTCACTGAAATATATATGTATGAAAATCAGTAACAAAAAAGTGAATGTTTTCACGTAACTATAGAATAAAAGAATCCATTACATTGACAAGAGTTCATCCATTGCATCAAAATAATACAGTAATTACCAGCTGAATAATTTTTATAAATATTATTCAACTGTATGTCAAAATATGGAAAAAATTCAAGTTTGCAGTCTAAAATTAATGGAAATTAGAAAAGATAAGGCAATGTCGATCGAGAGGGAAAAGCAAAATCGAAAATGAAAAAGGTTACGGTTCTTAATACGAAAAATCACTGTGCATTGTCGGTTTGCGTTTCTTGCGCACAATGGCTTGGCGCGCGCCATCGTGTATAATAAACATAAAGTACCGAGAAAAAAAAATAGGAAATAAGAGAATGTACGAGTGAATAAGCCTATTCACCCCAGAGTTCCCTTCTAGATTTTAGTTATAGCGAAGGCGGAGGGAGACAGCGACAACAATCCAGCATTGAAATTCCTCATGCGGTTTTCGGCACTTTGTGTCGCGAACCGGAAGTCGGCCAGACGAGATTCGAGGCCTGCACCGGCAGCGGTGATCTTCTGTACACTACATTCGCGTCAGTTTCCGGTTCCCTACCAGAGATTTTGTACATTTTTTTATCTGATTTTACCTTTTTTTGACTCTCTACTAAGTGACTTCGTTGGTAGCTTAATATTTGGTCAATCCGTAAATTTGTGCGTACTTTTTGGACATTTTGAAACGGGACGAATAAAACGGAATTTATTTTTACTAACATAATACATACACTTAAACTTTTGCATTTTGTAGTACAACAAAATCGACATTTTGTTCCAATGACTCGGTAATGAAATAAGAAATATTTTCGATTTGTAAAGCTAACGAAAACAGATTTACCTAATGATATTTCGAGTTTTGTATCTTATAAAATAAATATATACGTGAATTTTGGATCAGTTTTTAGTTTATAGTAATATAGCGATGTATACGCTATGAGAAAGTTACCGAATGCGTATCATTTACCCAAATCGTACTTTATCAATTTTCTTTTGTGTCTGTATATCTTAACTATTTACCAATTTATGCAACTGATGATACCTAATTTTATGTAAAAAAACACTATCACCAAGATTATTTCGTTCGGCTGACAGTAAAATTTAAACTAAATCTACTACTTGATAACTTTCCAATACAAGCCCAAATTTTTTAGAATCTGTGTAATACATTACTAAATATTATTGAAAACGGTGAAATTAAACAGGAGACGTGTGTACTTAACTTGTATGTAATAAGAATAAACACAAAATATTAATTGTTTAAAACTGGGTTTTGTTGTCAAATCATTTAGTTACCATTATTTGCCAATATGTACAACCTACAGGTTTAGATATATTATGTACACATATCGTAATGGTAATTTGAATTTGCTTATTACTTAGCAAAGCTATTACTACAAATGAATTAAATGTTGCCTTTATTGAGTACAGACTTCGGATTGCAGACCTACTTAATGAAAAGTATTATTGAATATAAATGTCTGCCTTATATTAACAGTTTTATGCAATGAAAAATAACAGACATCTAATTAGATATGACGTTCCTTTTTTCATATTTTATTATGTTTTAGCCTATGTAAATTTAAATGTCGAAGAACGTAATACGGCCACGAATGATAAGTCTGCTAACAATAATATTAATAATCTAAGATAATCTAATTAAAACATTAATCTTAAACAGTTTTCGAACTACCTCTTTATCTAAGCAAAAGAGTTGGATAGCAAGGTCCCCATAAAATTTTCATCCCCACACTGGGGGGGGGGGGCATGGAACCTGCCAAGCACATAATTTATTGCCCCCCCTCCACCCCGCTTTTGTTGCCAAGGATCGGACTTTGGGCAAAAAATAGATTTGAGAGGTGTTCAAACGAAACTGTGAACTGTGAAAGTTTTAAAGCGGTCCCGAGTTTCAAACTCTCATGGAATCTTTACTGTATCTACAATTTATTTCTGTCTTTTAATAATACGAAAATGCATTCATTTATTATTAATTTGGAAAGATTTTGACATAAGAAAGTACTGAATTTTTACTTACCGTTCCGCCATCTTGGTATTGTGACAAACAGCTTGTTCCGCCATATTTCGATACCAACAGGCAGTGCATTTTCTGGAATAAATTCTCCCTTTAGCATTGCAAGCTGTCTGCTTGCTGCATCTGGATAGGCGAAGTCCAATGTTTTCCAGAAGAATCTTTCCAGAAGAGGGGCCTGCCCAAATTGAGTACCCCATCTCTGCAGGCCAGCCACCCATCCGACTCCCAAATACAAGAAACTCACGAAAATCAATCCCCGGAACATTTTGATTGTAATTTGATACCTTCGAAAAGACGAAATTTTTCACTAACTCCGATATTTTTAAAACGATTCCACGATTTTCAATCGTTCGAATGTAACAATTTATCAATTATCTGGACAGCAGTTTTTAGTTGTTGCATTACTCTTACTGCAAGTTCTTATTGTTTCACGGATTCTATGAATGTTACGGAATTTGGCGTTATTATGAAGGAAACTGTAGCGACGGATACATGTGTGTGATCCAAAAAGGAATCGACGTAGAAATTAAAGTAGGACAATTAGAAACAAGCAACTACAAGAAAGTATAGTAATGGTGTTACATAAAGGTCTATACAAAAAAATGAAACTCTCTTCGTAAAATAAATGAATTTTATATTCAAAATGCATGGGGCAATTCAGATAGAGATGGACCATTGGGAGAGACGAATCTGTTAGGTAGTTCTCAAACCATACGTCAAATGCGCAATGTGATAGTGCTATTTTGTTATAGTTATAGTGATCGAGTTTCGTAGGGTTTTCGTAAGGTTTTGACGAAATTTTTTACGTGATCATTACTGTATTGTCTGAGGAGATGTTTACACAGTTTACAAGTGTTCCGTAATTTATCTTTTTTTATCTAATAAAACAGTTTTTTCGATAAAAATAATTGCTACAAGTCAATTTAATGAAAGGTTTATCGAATTTTACGACTTTTATCGAAGTAGTCCATTTTATTTCTTATAATGAGGGAGAGATGGTCAACAACCTAAAATTTTATTTATTTATTCCTGTAGATATTTATAAAGGTATTTCATTAATATACTTTCATGTTCTAGAAAAGATAGCTCACTACACAAAGTGGCATAGAGTATTTTTAAAATATTTAAGTTTATAACGGTTTTAAAAACGTGGTCTATCTCTACCAGAATTACCCCAAAATCATGCAACCGTAAACTGGATACTTTTGTAAAGTTTTGAAGATACTTTTAAAGACAGTATGTTTAATAAAGTTTATACTGTTTTCAGAAATATCTTATAGAAAATCTAGTACGATAAAGTGTGAATGAACTGGAAGTATCGCTATCTTTATTATGTAAATTTTCCGGAACTACTTCGCGTAGAACGGTCTGTACATAAAATAAATGACTCGAGAACCAATAAAAACTGATAAAATTTCAGAAGCTAGATGGATCTAAATGATATTGCAGAAACCGTAATTACGTACGGAGGAAATGGAGCTTCGTTGATCCTGTTGTTTTTGTTACTTGCAATTTTCCCGGGGAAAGGTACTGAATGTACTTTCCTTACTTTCAATTACAGTACACTTTGATACAAAGAGATAATACAAAATGAGTTCGATGTAAATTTCTCCAAGAGTTCGCTTGAGCTTAGTTAAAACTTGTAACTAAAAATAAAAGATTTTGTATTATACATTTTCTAGGTAATAAATAATTTAAGATCCCTGATGTATTCAGTTGGCAAGTAAAAGATGTTTCTAAAATTTGAATCTTGAATTTTGTAAATGGAAGTAATAATTGCCTGCACATACACTGTTATATTAACCATGTAAGAGAACGGAATTTTTAATTTTGTATTAACAGATATATAGACATCACATTTATTTATTATATTGCAAAATATTTAAATAATTGATTGCTAATAGAACTGATGCAATATATTATGTATCAATAAGAAAACTAATAATAATGTTGTATTTAAATAGATTGTACATGTATATAATTCTATTTGCTTTCTATCAACCCATAGTTATTCTTTAATGATTTGTTTCGTTTCTAAAATAAAGGATTTCAAAGTAGAGCAGCTACGTTACTATCTAGGAAGGGATCCTGAATTAAAATTTAAAAATTAATTTTCGTTCGAGTTTAAGTACATATACACGTGAAAGTTGAACACAAAATATAGATTCGAAGTGTAAGCGTGAATCAAATTTTCCCTTTCCATGGCACAGAAAGAGTGCTGAATCCATAACGGGTGTAAATCTGTTCCCGCGACTTACAGTGTCACAACTCATGCATAAACGTCAAAAAATTCAATTTCGAAATTTTTTATTCCGTTTACTTGGAATTGAAAGCAAACTTTCCTCGAATCTAAGAACCTTGTAATCTAAGGATATACACAACGGGTTAAGATTAGTAATTAAATTCAAAGTCAAATAAAAACATTTACTTGGTGGATGTTTGTTGTGTTTGCGAGTGATTTCTTTCATTTTTATTATGAAACTGAACGAAAAGTCTCTTACTTTAACATTAATAATTAAAAATGCTTAAATTTGGTGATGTGAGTAAGTTTTATTGAGAATTTGGAAAAAAATGGAAAATATCTGTTCTTTCATTTTTCGACTAAAACTAGTTATTTTTGTGTCCTACGATTTGATATAAATTTTGTTTGGTCCTGAGTGCTCTATCAGGACATTGCATTTTTGTTTAATCGAACAGGCAATTGGCTGGGGTACTTAGCTTTAAAAGTTGCAGAGCTTGAAGTTGTTTACAATTCAACTGAAACTGATGAAGACAGTAGTGACAATGAATAATTTAAAATACAAATAATTTAAAAACATCTTTCATAGTTTAATAGTTTAACAAATAATTGATTTGTAATATTTGTTATCCATATACTCGTTACACTATGCGACCTGTACAAACCCAAATTCATTCGATTAGATCCCATCTTATGAACTACTGGTTTCTAGTGTTTTATATTCAATATAAAATCATTATTCAGATACGTGGGTAGAGGGTACAAAGCGTGACGGCGTAACAGATCTGTTGCCACGGATCATCGCGCGTTCTAATCTATTATACCTATCAATTGCTCACTTCCTAGTTCATAATTAACTCTAGACACAAGGTTTGTTTTCTAATCGCCTTGTGAACCAGATCACGATTGCGTTGTCCTGATGATACTTTCCAGAATTATAATCACTTTATACAGGCTGTTTCATAATTTTATAACAGATCTTTAACAGAGTAACGTATTTATGTACAGAAAACTACTACATAATTATTTCAGATCATTGCAAAATAATAATATTTATTAGAATCGGATCGTATAGAATGAATAGAATAATAATAATTATTCTATCTAATTTTTTATAGAAAGCTTGAAATTGAACGTTGGAATGTGAATTGTATTCCACCTTCCAAATGTGAATGGGTAATTTCTCTTCTAAAAAAATAATTAAATTTATGAAATAAAATAAAATGATTGTTACAAACTTAAATGTCTTTAAATAACTGTAGTACATTACATTATCGTCGTGATTTTTATCGTACTTTATAAAACACCCGGTAGATTTATTTAAAATTCACCTGCAGCTCCAAGTAGCAAATTAATGTCGAAAATTCCAACTGGATCGTTAGTTGTCTCCTCAGTAACGTTTAATCTCGAATGAAAAATTTACTTCCGCACTAATACTGGTGCGAGCGATTTTTTATTCCCAAATCAATTCTGCCATGGTGCCATTAAGCTGAGCAGGGCGTACGATAATTGACGGCGCCATTAATCAGACTTGTGCCCGCTCAACGACAGCAGTTGGCTGCTCAAAATAAAAAATCGCAGTCTAAATCAAAAACTTTGGATAACAATTAAAGGAAGCGTAGACTTTTAATAGGAGGAAAGAGAATTTTAGATCTTGACTAAATTACATGCTGATCATTATTGAATCTGGCGTCATTGAACTAATTAGGTGTTATTCAAAGCCTTACTAATTGTCAAATAATTTCTGTAGATCTTATTTCTGAACTGAGGCGAAATAATTGAGCTAGGAGATTATATTACATAGTAATCACTGATAATTATCGAAGAATGAAATAATGGTAAAATAAAGTTGTTAATTGATGAAATTGCAATTAATGCTGTATTTTTAGTTTTGTGCTTAATTTAACAAAGATTATTTAGTTGTATTAGTTATCGTTTCCAAGTAAATTCACATGAATGATTATTTTAAACGTATATACATCTACGTCGGTAAAATACATTATTATTTTACGGTGAACTATTTCATACGACATTCAATATCTTATTTAAAATAATCAAGTATACAGCTACTAAAATAAAAAGATGCTTGTCTTCAACAAAGTGAGACATTAAAAAATCTGAATTCGCGCGAAATTCAAATCACTCGATGAACTAACGCCTTTCTAAGCTTCACAAGTCGTAATAAGAGAACACCTTTTATTCTATTAATTTAATAGGCTGGTATGATCCTAATGTTATAATAAAAATATTATGAAATTTCAATAGGTACACGTATTTAAGTAATCGTTCAAACGAAAAACGACACGGAAAAATTCGTGGATACTGCATTTATTGGCCACTTGTTTCTCGAATTTCATTGTTTCACGCTTCTGCCGGAAAACACACGTGTATTTCCGAACGAAAGATTTTTCTTGAGCGAGGAATCGTAAGATCTTGAATTTGTCCCGTGAATATACCTTTTTTCAGAAACTTTGGAGAAAATTCGTAACAATAGTCGATAACTTCGTCTTTAGGGCGAACAAACACACGATTCGTAGAAAGCCAGTGGCGAACAGTGGAAGTAAACTGTTGGTTCCTACAAATCGGCACTGGTATATATGTACTCAGTTCGTGTGACACGTGCCTAGCAAGCTGCAGACGTTCACTCCAATAAACCTGTGTGTGTACACTCTGATCCATAAGTACAGGAAATATAATTGATATAGAGGGATCCTTGCATTACTCGATTAAACCTGGAACATAATGAACTACATCATCGAACATCTACTTTGTTCAAGTACTAATGTTTCGACTTTGAGACAACGACTAGACAGCAAATTTTATAAATTTGTAACCGATAAACGTGATGAAAATGTAAGAAAACAAAAGTAATTTAATCTAAAGCAATAAAATAATATATAAGGAATTTTTTTCTTTATTTACAATCTAATAGAATGTTGAACAGTGGAAATAAATCTTACGTTCACGTTCAGTAAACACAGATTAGCATGAAGAACTGTGCATTGACACGAATGCCTACCGCCTAG